GTGCACTTACTGTATGATGCAAAGCTGAAGGTGCAGAAGGTTCCTGCAGAGCCAGCTGCCAACAGTTGGAAGCAGACGTGCAGGACCGTAGGTCAAACCTATGTTGCTCCAGTAAAATGGATGAGTTGCAATTGTCCTGTCACAGGACGCACAGGGTGGTTGGCTATAGCTTGGATGAAGATTACTTTAAATGAAATAGCTGTTATTTCAAAGTGTCAGCCTAATGCTGAAAGCACAGGTTAAATGCTTCTGTTACGGAAATTAACTCCAAAGCAATCATTAAGCCTATGAGAGAACAAAATAAATTATGAAAATTTTCTTAAATTTACATCATACCAGTGGAAAAGATTAGATGATTCTTTTGGAAATTTTTTAAGTAGCATCTTTTAACTATAGGATTTGAACACTACTCATGTAGGTGAAGAATTCTTTGCAATGCAGTCATGCCTACAGTCTAGGATTAGGGATACTAGTTTTTAATAGTTCTAAGTCATGAATCAAAAATTAATAAGATCTGGTTTTAAAGCTTCTCATGCTGCAGCTTTTAATGTCCTTGTGTAAGTCTGCATTTAGTTCAAAAGAATCACAATTGCTTTCCTATGCATCGTGAAAACAGTGACAGGGATGAGGTGTTTCTGCCAAGAGAATGGGGACTCTTCATCTAAGGTTAAATTGTGGTGCTTGTGCATAGTCTTATCTCAGACTGAGCCTAGCCTGGCCTTATCAAGAAATACAGAGGAGTGTCTACAAGAGAAACATGGATGGCACCCAGAGTAGTATGGATTTTAACCATACAATTTTTACTGATAGCAAAATCTGAACTGTAATGTCTAGTAACTGTAAGTTAGATTGTAAGAAAAAGAACAAAGTAGATTCTAACTGCATAGTTAACACTGGCTGCAGATCTTCTGGGAAAAAGAAAAAGAGGGTAAACATCAGATCTGAGCAATGAAATACGAAAAAGAGTTTGTAGAACTTTCTATGGATAATGTACAAAAAGGTCATAGATTATTTTGCATAATAATCCCTAAAACATTGTGGGATTTTTTATGAAAACTTGTGT